GGCAAAGCTAGATGTCTAATAAGATGTGTAATAAAAATACTGTAAGTTATTCAAAACATTGAGACTAGATATGAGGGCAATCTGGCTGCAACATTTTTCACCCCACTGATCGCCAGGGTTGATTTGGCTGATCTGGCTGGCTAGGCGGGTGTCTCCTTCCTTCCTGACCGCTCCATGTACTTCCCTCCCAAAGCTGTGAGCTTGGTTGAAAGAGGATGACCACCCCCAACAGAGGAGGACCATTTCCTCAGTCAAGGGTATATGAATAGCTGCACTGCCTGGCTAGAGCCTCCAGACAGGCTCTCAAAACATTGGGACTGTAGGAGACTGTCCTCAAGTCTTAACACTTACGTGTTTTAGTCTCTTGATACATTTGTTTTCTTTTTTTAAATACTTGGAAAGTTGTGATTTTTAAAATTTTAGTTATAATTTAACTGTACTGAACAATGTCATTTGTATTATATCCTATTTGGGAGTTTCTAGTTTTTGTGGAGTTTTAAAATTCAGGTTAGGGTTTTGTTTTGTTTAGTTTGGTTAGGTTTGGTTTGGTTTTTTGAGATAAGGTCTCACTATGTAGTCCAGTTTGGCCTTTAACTCACTATGTAGTCCAAGCTGGCCTCAAACTTGTGGCAATCCTCCTACCTCAGCCTCCCAGCTGCTGGCATTACAGGCGTGTGCCACCACACTCAGCTTTTGTTTTGTTTTTGTTTCTGAATTTCTGGCCATCAAACCCGGAGCCTCGCACATGACAGACAAGCATTCTATACTGATCTACACAGTGAGCCCCACTTCATTCAGTTTCTAAGTGTATTGATAATGTATCAAAGTTATATTTTCTTTTTCTGCCCCCTCCCCTTTCAGTACTGGGGATTGAACCCAGGATCTTTGCAATGAGCTATGAACCCAGACCTTTTTATTTTGTATTTTGAGACAAGGTCTCAATAGTTGCTAAATTGCCTACACTGGGCTCAAACTTGGTATCCTTCTGCATCTGACTTCCAGAAAGCTAGGATTTCTGGTGCACACCAACATGCTTATTTTTTTTACTTCTCATTACAGGTCATTTTTAAGTATAAAAGTAGAGAAGATACCACTGTGATCCTTAATTTACCTGTTAACCTAGTTTTATCAGCCATTAACCTGCCATTCTTGTGTTTTTGTTTGTTTTTTCCCCTTAAAATTATTGGCATGTTTTAAAAGCAAGTTCCAGGTGTATATTTCATCCACAAGTCTTTTAGTTTCTATATCTTATTAAAAGGTCTTTTAAAATGAACTTAACTATAACACTTTGATTGAAGTAAAAAATCATTCTATATATTACCTTTTATTAGTACCTAGGCAGTGTTCAGTTTTTCCTGTGTCCAAAATGTCATTTTAAACAATTTGAGGGTTGGGGATTTAGCTTAGTGGTTTCGCCACCTGCTGCGCAAGTGCAAGGACCTGAGTTTCATCCCCAGTACCAAAAAAAAACAAACAAAAAAAACAATTTGACTTAGGGGCCAGGGATTTAGCTCACTGGTTCTGGCGCCTGCCTCACAAGCGCAAGGTCCTGAGTTCTATCCCCCATACAAAAACAAAACACAATTTGACTTAGAATCCAGGCAGTTCTCACATTAAGTTATTTTGATTAGTTTTTTTTACTTTATAGCAATAAAAATCTCTCCTTTAAAAAATGTGTTTTATTTGCTACAGAAATGAGGTCATTTGCCTTGTCCCACATTTTGGGTTTAGCTGATGGCTTTGTGTCTTGTGTTACTAACGTGTTTCTCAGAATTCTCTTTAAATTGGAAGTCACCTCTAGAGGTGTGATTAAATATATATATTTTTTTGTCAAGAATACCTCATAGATGGTATTGTATCATCAAGAAGAATATAATGCCTAGAATTACAATTTAGTGATAAGACTGAAAAGTATCTTCAATAAAGTCTGTGACTCAACCATTGACAATGTTCCCTTTAGTTCTTTACTTGTTAAGTTTAGCAGACATTGATGCTCTCTCTCTTCTCTTTTTTTAGATGTTAGAATATTTTGATTTTGATTTTTTTTTTTTGGTATCGGGAGTCGAACTTGGGACCTTGCATTTGCAAGGCAGGTGGCAGAACCACTGAGCTAAATCCCCAGCCCAGAATATTTTGATTTTTAAAAAATTCTTTAACTATTTGCTATAGTTCATTTTGTGAACATCAGTTGTTTGGTATTCTGAAATGCAATTCATCAAGGAAACCAGACTAATATTTCCCTATAATAATCTTTAGAATAGTGTTTAGTGTCTGAACAACCTGCAAAGGTGAGCAAAGTGGTGTTGCTGGTGTTTTTAGCCTTCATGGATATTTATAAATTGTACTTGTATTCCATTTATTCTTTTTGATCATCACATTATCCTATCTTTGACCATCAGAAGCTCCTCACTTCTATGGCTCCAATGTTCCTATCATATGAGCAGAGTAGTCTTTCATAGCTTCTTTGGTTTCACAGTAAGATGTCCCAGGTTCATCTTAAATGGAAGAATATTCTACAGAATAATCAACCAGAACTCCTTAAGAGTGGAGGATGAAAGATTAAGGAACAACTGAGGAATTTTTAGAGTTTGGAAGGAACTAAGCAGAAGTAACAGCTGAATGCAATGTGAGATCATCCTAGATTGTATCCTGGAATAGAGTAAGGAAATTTGTGAGAAAGCATGTGAATCCTATAGAAAATCTGTAATTCAGAAAATTACATTTCCAGCTGGGTGAGTGGTACACATCTGTAATTTCAGCACTATCAAGGCTGAACTTGTGATCACAAGTTTGAGCCCAACCTGGACAACTTATCAACTTGACAAGACCCTATCTCAAAATAAAATAAAAAAGGGCTGTAGGTTTAACTCAGTTCAAAAACCTTGGGTTCAATGGTTCAATCTCCAATACCACGCCCCCCAACACAATTTATAAAAAGATTATGTGGATTTTTAAAACTTATTTAATTATATATTTGTATCTTTATGTGGAATGTCTATGTACCTAGTATTAATTTAATTCATATTTGTCCTATATACCATGCCCTGTGTAGTGTTGGTGTACATATACAGAATGTAAAATATAATAGTTTTAAAACATGACAATATTTACCTCAACAACCCTAATGTGAGTGCATTTTAAGATTTCTTAGCGAATTTTTAGGATTTTGTGTGCAAATACTGTCTTATATATTTTAAATTTTCTTTCATAAAAGTTTAAAAAGTTTTGTTAACACATGGTTTGCCAATACTTTCATCATTATCAAATTAGTATGAAGAAGAAACTAATAAAAGCAAATATTACTTCTTGGTAAGATGTATATTATGGGCAGATTTCTTGAAATTACTTAGAATCCAGAGGATTCTCAGAAATTAATCTGTAGTTCTCAGAAATTACTTAGATTCCATGTCCTGGAAAACTTGAGGATTTTAAGACTTTTTAGTAACACCGTTCTAAGAACTAGTCATTAACATGTCCTTGAAATGACCTGTTTGCTATCTTTGTCATTTTACAGCATCCTGAGATTAGCATTAAACTTCTACCAGTGGAGCCCATGACTTCTGATCAGGACACTAAAGTTGTGGCTGAACCGCAGGCACAGCGAGTCCAGGAGGGAAAGGACAGCTCTCATCTGGTAGGTGTATTGGAAGGGAGGGCCAGAGGCATTTATTTTTTTCTGTTGACAAGTGTACATTAGACTTAAGGAATACATTGGACTTAAGAAGGACATCCAAACAGTAACACTAAAGTATCTCAGGATCTACATCCTGTAAAGCAGGTATACTCTTTTAGAAGAAAAAGGATCTCTTACCTATCCAAGGATTGTAGCTGAGATCCCTGAAATAAAAGACAGATGAACAAGAGAAAACCATTATTGTTAAATAGCAACAAGTTTTATGTGACATAGGAACCTTCAGAAATGACAACAACACCCCTAAGGAAAATTATATTTATGCTAAGTCTTATACAGAAAGGGAGAGTTATGGAAAAGCATGAATGGACAAATGGGATATTATTTAATGGTAATAAACTGGGGAGAACCAAGCAAGACTTGTTTGTTCAGTTGTTTTTGTTTTTGTTTTGTTGTTCCTATGTGACATTCCTTTCCTCTGGGAATACTGTAGGGACCCCTTTAGGATGAAAGTCTTATGACTGATTTTGAGGGGAAAGTCTGCTAGGTTTTATAGCCCACTTCAAGGGAGAGGAGATAAGGGGAATTCTAGTTCCAGTGTCCTGATTTTGCTGTTCCTTCCCATTTTAGTTGGGTGGTTTTTGCTTTTTGGTTTTTTTTTTTTTGGTACTGGGGATCGAACTCGAGTCCTTGCGCTTGCACAGCAGGCGGTGAAACCACTGAGCTAAATCCCCAGTTTGTTCCTTCTCATTTTAAAATACAATGTTTGGTGTGCTGTGTGTGAAATCACATCAATCTAAAGTAAGATTTAGATAGTTTAGTAGAGGAAACTGTTTCTGTGTATGAGGTGAGAGAGAAAACAAAAGGTAATTATAATTCTAGATATTTAAAGCTTTGTATTTTAAATCAAGAAAGTACAGATATAAACATACTAAGATTACAGCCATTGTAGATTGAGAGTTAAATAGTATTTTAAATTTTTTATAAATTTATTTTGACAACCTACATTCATTTTATAATGTCAGGCAAAAATATTTAGTGTTTCTAAATGGCTTTTGGAAAAAGTAGCTTTTCTTAATTTTTCCCCATTGAAACTAACATCAGTCAGAATTTCAAAATTATAAATTTTAAGGAACCAGTATGTTTCCTGTTGAATACCTTATGAGGTCATGAATTTCTTTGTCATGTCATGTGAAAATTGCATTTCCCAGTAGGTTTGGTTTTGCTTAATTACGATGGTTTAAAAATACATTTTATTTCCATGGTAGTGATGATGTCTTTGAAATTTCAATTTTACAGATGAATGGTCCTATATCTCAAACCACTTCTCAAACAAGTTCCATCCCAGCTTTGAGTCAGGTAATTCATTTCTGTGATTAATCACAGATTGTTTAATCACAATGGAAGCTCACAGATATCTCCTTACAACCAGTGTTTATTGTTTAAAAAACATAGAAATTATATATGTCTCTCAAAAAAGGTGGTAGGGGTCCATTCATCATCATGCCCCCTCAGAACAGTAAATGTCAATATTATGTATCCTTTTCTGTGTCTGTGTACAGTTCACAATAGCAGTATGCCAAATGTATTTTTTTATTTCAAATATTTATCACAATGGCTTAATGATTTGCTGTTAAGCTGTGTATATATATGATTAGCTTTACATTTTGATATCCTGTGTGTTTTAGAGGATGCAAGTCAAATGCTAATAAACAAGGAAATGGCACTCCATTGGTTTTTTTGAATTTTGTGGGGGTTTTTTCTGATGAAGTAGGACTTTTCTTCACATGTTTATTGGCCACTGGCTTACTATGTTTTGTGAAACCCTTTCATATCTTTCTTTTTTTTTTCCCTTAAATCCTTTTATTGTTACATTTTAGGTATACAAAACGTTTACATTTATCATTGGGTGCTTGTACTGAACCTTGGTTTTATTGTTTGCAAATAGCTATGTAAATAGGTATGCTTCTGGAATATTCCAAATTCAGTTCGATTGTCTTTTAAGGGCCTGACCAAGTTTAGTAAGCCCCAAACTTGATTCCCCCAAATCAGCAATTCATACAGAAATTAATAAAGTAGAATTTTTAAAAAGTAAGACATGGTTGGGGTGTAGCTCAGTGTTAGAACATGTAACCAGTAGGTACAAGGATCTGGGTCATTGATCCCCAGTGTCAAGGGAGAAAAAAAAGATACCACCACAAAGTATATCACCATTTTACTGTTTATGTTGGATTTAAAATGTACAGTTTGATAATATTTAGATTTCTTCAGTTGTGTAACCATTACTATAATTTTAGAATGCTTTCATTATCCACCATGCTCATTTATAGTTAATCCCTGTTCCTTCCCTGGGCAATCACAGATGTACTTTCTGTGCCTGGATTTGCCTTTTTTGTGTCTTGTTAACTTACATAGCTAGCTCAGTATTTTGTGTCTAGTAGGTTGGCAGATAGTACTTTCTGAATTAAATTTGAGTGTTCATTCAACAAAGATGAGTGAGAGTGATAAAGATGGGTAAGAAATGTTCTATGGAGTAGTCATTTACAGATTAGTGTGGAATATATACATATTTATTGTAACCCTACTACAGCATGCAAAGTTGTATTGCTAAATTTTGAAACTTTTTTTTTTTTTGGTACTGGGGATTGAACTCAGGTCCTTGCGCTTGCGAGGCAGGCGATGGAACCACTGAGCTAAATCCTGGCCCTATTGCTAAATTTTGTGTGAACTTTAGGTACAGGATGCATATGGACATAGAGGTAGATACCATTGAGAAATACAGACATTCCTTACTTAGCCTAATCCCTGTCTCACAGCTAGGTCATTAATTGAAATGCACTAAATGAGGAATTATATGTAGTATGTACATTACAATATTCAGAACAAAGGCATAATCAAAGGAAACTTCAACTTGATGACTTTGCTTTTATTTGGATAATTCTTAATACAGTGCTGTAGTGTGTAATAGAACATAAAACTACAGTATTGTACAATACAATCAGCAGAAATTACAGTATTATATAAACAAGGTATATTGTATCCAAAAAAAGACATTGAGACTCTGTAAATGAGATGTTCAGAACTGTCCAAAAAATAAAGACAGGTTGTAAGTCTGAACAGCATGCATCGGTCCTAAGTCTGAACAGTTGTTCAACAGGTAGATCATTAAACAAAGATATCTGCAGTTGTGTCTACAGAAAAAAATGCCCTTCTTTTTTTTCCCTAGTACAGAGGGATATTTTAAATGTTCTAACCTTGAAATAAGGATTTCAAAGCATTTGTACAAATACATTTAAAGTAGTAAATTTGCATTAAATTTCCCTGCATGTATAGACAGGAAAAATGATGAAACTCTGGAGTCCACCAGTATTTCAGAAACTAGAAGGAAACTAGAAAGGGGAGAGAGAGGTCAGCAAAACGAGAAAAAAACCAGAGAACAGTGTTGCCTGAAGTGGGGGAAGAGAGTGGCCACCTGAAATGAAGTGAAATAATGACCAGCTGTCTTGAGAGATTTCAAACAAATTGGTTGATCATTTATGATCTTAGCAAGAGTAGTTCCAAGAGGTTACTTAGTGAAAGCCAGATTTTATAGTCCTGCATAGATTCAGGAGCGGTAGATACTGTAGACAATAACATTGTATCAAAGATCCTGACTTTAACAGTAAGAAGAGGGATAGGGAGGATAGGAGAGGGAATCAAGAGGGCCTTGGGTGTGTTTGAGATAAAGTTTAAATCATACTGCACATTTTTGCAACCAAATTGTCTGATTCTCCTTGAACTGCTTTAACCTTAGAGTCATTTTCTGTTCCAACAAACCTGTTGCATTTTGTCATAAGTGAGCAGCAAATTTGAGAAAGGAACATGTGTGGTAATGTTTAATGGAAAAGTAATATTAGCTAAAAATATTTATGTTAAATTACTTCTTGGAGGACCGGGGATTTAGCTCAGTGGTTCTGCTGCCTGCCTCGCAAGTGCAAGGACTCGAGTTTGATCCCTGGTACCAAAAACAAACAAACAAATAAAAAATTACTTTTGGGGAAAATATGCTTCATCATGCCACATGTTTTCCAATCATAACATGAAACTTGAAAGCTTAATTTGGAAACCTAACTCTTCTATATGCCTATCTCACTATAGATACTTCATGGTCTGTCTCAGAATAATCTTTTAAAACTCCTTTACAGACAGATCAGAAAACTTCAGTCCTTCCATTCATTCATTAAATTTTGAAAAAAACTACCTTTTGATCATGTAGTTTTTCAATGAATATTAACTAGAACTTCAAATTAGTTACTATAGGTCTACATCTTGAATAGGAGTAGGCTACCAGTTGGAAAGCTTGAATTTCCATGAAAATGGCCAAATACACAAATAACGTCTTCCTGCTTTTAGTAAGTTAATTGATCTCTTATAGGTCAAACTTCCAAGCAGTGCATAGTGCTTTTGAGAGTCTTCTACTATGAGATGTACAATGAATGTACAGTATTTTGTTTCTTTTCTTTTGCCCTTTTTTCTTAATTATAATTTTCACACATCTGCAGAGTAGAGAGAATAATATAATATTCCCTTTGTGAATAGTTTGTCATCCTTGTGTTAGGCTGCTCATTTCGTTTCTCCACTCTACACAAAATTGTTTAGAATTTTATGTATGTATATATTTACCTTATTTCCTGAAGGTTGTTTTTTGTTTTTGTTTTTTTGGTACCGAGGATGGAACTTGGGACCTTGCTCTTGTGAGGCACGTGGTGGCACCACTGAGCTAAATCCCCGGCCTTCCTGAAGTATTTTTAAACAAATCCCAGTCAGTTTGTCATTTCACCATAAATACTTAAAAATGTGTCTATAACACCATCCATTTTCATGCCTGATATAATTATATTATTCTTTTATACTCACGGGCATTATTTTTTGAAGCTAGAAAATTAGGTAAAACAATGACTAGGTATAAATATTAAAGAACAAATTTCTAATATTGTTTTCCTTTTTAGGAATTTGGAAACTAACTTCTTTGCCACGGTCCCATGAAATATAATTCAGGAAATACTAATCACTATAGAAAAATCAGAAGTGTGAAAATCTTTAAGCTGAGACAGCTTTAGTTGGTTTTTAAAATTGAGTTTATGAAAAAATAATAGGTAGCTTATCTTTTTGCTGTTCTGAACCTTTGGATTCCAGGTACTGTTTGGATTTCAGCACATGGAGTGTGGTGGTTGTCAGGCAGGGCATTCTTGTCATTTGGATTTGGATTTGAGTGGCAGGAACATGTGACTGCTGTGCAGAGTTATTTTTGGTGTGTGGGTGTTGGCTTCTTTGCAGAAACCATAGTTAAGTTAGTGTGAGATGCATTTGTAGAGGCTCAGAAAAGGACAAGCATTGTAAAGTGAGTTTTTGAACTTTCAAACATGGGTTGTTGCTTCGGCAAGGAATTAAGTGTTGACAATGACAACGAGAAAATTGGTCTGTTACAAAATTCTGTGGAGAAGAAGGAACCGAAGAACAAGATAAGTAAAACTTTATCTTCATTATTTGATACCCTTGAAGGTGATGAGCTTTACAATGTTGAAAATGGAGCCAGCAGACCAGCTGCTGGCATTAAGAAGTGGACTAGAACTTTTATAGGGTATGGCCACAAACAAGATCATAGAACAAAGCAGTCAATGAACTCTATTTCCTCTTCGATATATAAGTTCTTAACTAGGTATAAAAATTTAGATGAGAATGATAAGAGCTCAAATATTGTTATTGAGCAAAATGCTGAGAGTGTCTGTGACTCATTGTCCATGAGTAATGACAGACAAGGTTGTTCCATAGATGACCAGCCTCACTCACATGTGCAGGTGCCTTCTGACCAAGGCCTGCAAGAGGAAGCTTTTGTAAGTGACCCTCTGTGCTGTTACCTGGCCACTTGTAAAAAATCTTTAGTAGAGAAAGAAAGAATACTAAATGTTAAAATCAGTAATTTCAGTGAGAGTAATTCTTTATATATGTTGAATAGGGAGATGCAAGATGGAAACCTTGCTTGTATTGGTGACAAACAATGTAAAAATTCAAGAGAGAGCAAGTTTTATAGTATTTGTGTTATAGATCCTGACTGTCTGAATATGGAAGAGGAATTGTGCACTCCCACGTATGCAACAGCTGCAAGAGAAGAAGAATGTCATTCAGCTGTTACCTCTGAGGGGATTCACAGAGTGAATTGGCCTCTAGTTAACAGGAAAGAATGTTCAGTCTTGTATGCTGAACAAGGGGCTGGAGAATTAAAACTGCAGCAGGAAGATCTGTCACCCCAGGGTATGCAGAGCCCAAATGAAGGGAAAGATGTATTTAATGAAGAAACTAAGCCTAGTTTTGAGCTTTTGGTAGACAGTGATCCATCTTGTGAAGCAAATATTGGTAACCTGAAGGCTGAGACTTTGAAGGCAGAACCTTACGCCATATTTCCTAAAGATTACACAGAAAGTAGTACATTACATAATATTGGCCTACTCCCTGAATTAAATATTAACATAGACAATGACTCACTAAAATGCATGTGCACCATCCCCAAAGAGAGAGAGAGCCATATTTCAGAAATAGGAGGTCAGATGGATGACTCATCTGTTAATTTATTTAATGACACTGCATATGTTAAAGAGAATGATGAACCTGAGGCTGTAACAATTAGTGTCAATCAAAGTTTAAACTCTAAAAAGGAAGCAGGAAATAACTCTGTAAATCCACTGAAAGACAAAAGTTATTTCCATGTCAGTGTTGGCTGCTCAGATAGTATCCTTTCCTTTGGTCTAGATAGAACTAATTTAAATCCCGAAAGGTTTATCACTTCAGAGAGCTTTGGAAATGAGTGTCTCTCAGCTCATGCTAATTTAAGAGAAGGGACCCCCAGAAGACTTGATGGCAGCCTTGATCTCATGCCCTTCTCAGGACTCATGGTGAGGAAGGAGCAGTACCAAGGGGAGAGTACCAGAAGTCCCCAGCTGGAAAACAGAGAAAAGCTGTCATTGAGATCTGAAAATAGCTTTTCTTATGACGATGAGGATAAAGTTAGTGATTTGGAGCCTGAAGGTCATGGTAGAAGGGCTTCTGAGTTGAAATCTTGGTGTCCATCAGATCTATGTGCAGGTAGCAGAATAGACAAGGCTCAGATACAGACATGTGATTTAACTCACGTGGAGTGTGAATCGGACACAGAGGGGACAATCCAAGGGGTAGACATTCCAAAACTTGGAATTTCACAAAGAGTGCCTCCAAATAATGAGTCTCATGATCACTCCAGATCTCTTCAGGGTATCTTTATGTCTTCTGCATTTATTTTCACTTGTACTGACAAAGAAGAAAGGGAAGCAGGCCTGCATGATAAAACGGAAGATGAAATATATGGGAAGAGTTCAGTCAGTGTATTACATGACCAACGGAGTGGTCCTCACAGATTAGAAAATGCTGAGCAAGAATCACAGAATGCTAATTATAGAGAGAGAAGTAAAGAACATATAGAAAATGTCAAGTCAGATTCTAAAACAATCTTTGACTGGGAAACAGATGAACTAAAATGCAAGGCAATGCCTGGTGAAGATGCACTAACTTGTATTAGTTCTAGTACAATAAAAAATCGTGATTCTGAAATTAATCAAATACGAAAACATTTTGAAACCCATAGAGTGAATGACTACAAAGATAAAGATCTTAATATTGTGCCACCTTTAAGTCAAAGTTCAAATTTAGTTATACAGAAGCCAGAAGTTGTAGAAAAGAACTCTATTAATACTGATGAAAGCTCAAAACCGAAGCAAATTTGCTGTGACTCAACTAAAGAAGTTTTTGATTCCTTTGCTGACAATGGATCAGAGTTGAGTAAGTCAAAAGTAACATGTAAAAAAGAGAAAGAGAGACTTTATTTGGAGAAAGACAATATTGATATTGACTGCTTAGATCCATGTGGGACAAATGGACTTGCATACCATTGCACAGAAAGAAATGTCAAGTCCACAGCTAAAGAATGTACTTTAAATAGTAAAATACATTTTATGGGAATTGGTGTTGATCCCACCCAAGTGAATGGAAACACAACTATCCCTTTCAACACACATCAAGTAATTCCTGTCATTCCAGTTGACAGCAAAGAAATTGTAGTACCAAGACATGACCATGTTTTATCACTCACAGATCTCTTAAATATTTCTAAAAATTCTCCAAAAGTGGATTGGCAGAGTTTCCCAGAGGAATACTACTCCCATTTTTTGAATGAATTCTCTTATTACCCGATGGGAGGGTTGACAAGACAGATATTTTCTGAAAGACTGGCAAATGGATGTGGTGGATATCAAGCAGGCTATCTATGGACTAATACAGTCACAAAAGATGCAATAGAAGATGAACAGATATTTAGTGAGGGTCCACACAATAAGCCACAGGACTTAGACAATGCTTCATTTTCATTGGAACACCCCCCTTACCAGCTACCACTGAAAGAGCACGGTGTTGTTTGGGGTTTGCAAAGTAGAGGTGAACAGTTAGTAAGTATGCTTTTATCAGTACTTATTATTGTGCTCTGATATGGTTACCTTTACCTTTTGTGTGCTTTTAAATTAAGCTTTTTTCTAAATGGTGGTGGTTTGAATACTTACATAAAGCTCTGAATTAATATAACATCAACTTAACCATTTCCAAATTGGAGAATTTGTTGTATTTTAGCCAGAGTTTGTTTATATATCACACACCTTTATGCAGACTGTTCTTTGTGGATGTTGCTATTGCCTCAGTATAGTTGGAGCCCTTTTGCAGGGATCTTGTCATATGGTCAGTGTAGTATGTTTTAGCTAGGATTTGAGCCAATAGTGTAAGTCAGTCACACTTGTAATTATAAACTAAACTTAAAAATCTGTGCTTTCTGCTACTTTTCTATTATATCTGTTTAAAGCAGGTAAAATTTTCTACTTTTAACTGCCTCTACAACCTTGGTTCTGTTTTCTTTCAGTCAGAATCACCATGGAGCTCTTTCTCAGGTCCCTGTGATGAGCTGGTCCTACTGATTGGGAAGAACCTTTGCAGATGATTCTGGGGCACCTAAATTGAGCATCTTTTCAATAAATTGTATAATAAAGGCAAACATTATTCAACAACCAGAAACTAATATTGCTTATAAAACACACATATGGAACCGGTGTTGTTGAGGGATTGTTTCCAAGAGCCCCAAAGATACCAAAATTCATGGATGATCAAGTTCCATTGTAAAATGGCGTACTATTTGCACATAATCTACATAATCCTCCCATGAAATCATCTCTAAATTACTTGTAATATCTAATACATTTAAATGCCATGGAAGTAGTTATACCGTATTACTTGAGGAAATAATAAAAAAGTTTGTACATGTTTACTACATATCCAGTTTTTTTAAAGCAGTTCTGTTTTTTTTTTTTTGGAGCCAGGGATCAAAAAAAGAAGTATTTTTGATTCATGTGGAATCCATGAATACAGAAGGCCAACTGCACTTGGAATAGCAAAATTAGTTCATAACTTAATGATTTTTTGGCATTAGTCAAGAAAAACTTGATATTAAAGAGATAACTTCAAATATTCATATCTATACTATGGGAATAAACAGTAGAAATCCCATAACATAATTTAAGGAATTATACATTTTTCTTTACACAGAATCCACACTCATATCTGAAAGTGTTGCCAAAGTTACCTGCAAGTTCATCAGTTTTTCTCGTTTAAATAGTTATAGAGGAAACACTATAAAATTAAAATACATATATTGGATCTTTCATCTAAACGTGTGTAGTTACAGTTCACTAACTGCTTGCTGCTTGGTACATCCATGGAGAGTGCAAATAATTTTCTGTCTTTGGCTTTGAGCAAGATATGTGGTTTCAGTTTTAAATTAACTTTTCAATTATGAGTTGTGTCTGAACATTTCTAATTTGAGGCATTACCATTTTTAATGGTGTAGTCTTGCCTTCACAACTGTTTTCAAAAGTATTGTTACCTATTTATATAGCAGCTCTCTCCCTATTTTACAAATAAAGAATTGGAGGTTGACATCTGCATGGCTGTGAAGTCAGTGAATTGCTTTGAATTATTAAATTTTTTAGTGCAACTCCAGGAATAATTGTATGGGCTTACTTGGAGCGTTTCTTTCCTTTATTATCTCGCCTATTTTTCTTTCTCTACCTACTTGTTCCTGCTCTGTGATAATACTCTAATTTATTAGATGGAGCATTTTGTTTCATGAACATGAAATACATATTTATGAATTAATACTATTTTTAATGGACTGTATTTTGTGAGGTGGGTGGAAGAGTTTCTTTAGGGTATCAGAACTTAGTGCTTCACGTTCAAAGAGAAGTAACATTGGTTATTTATGTGAAATCACTTCAGAATGTGGCTTCTGATTTTAATAACCATTGCTTACCCATAAATTTTTAGTGCAAGATAAGACATAGCCACACACGTGAAAGTAAAGACTTCCTGGTAATCATTTGGAGTTCTATATAACTACAGTTGAATAACTTTTTTTCAAAAATAAGTTTGCATTTTATTCTTGGAATTATTTCTAGACTCTTTCAGCTTATATCATTTTCTCCCAGCTTTAGTGTTCTTCATGAATTTTTAGTATCTCCTGAGCCATAATTTGCTTTTATTTTTTTCTCTTTTTAAAAAATTTTAGTTCATTAGTACATGTGTGTAGTACATTCCTACATGTTTACATTCCTTGTGGAAAGTTGGTACATGTACATAACACATCCCAGTTGTTTTTTTACATCCTTTATCTCTTCTTTCCCCCTACCCTCCCTTCATCCATCTCTTGATCCCCATCCCCTTTGAGAACAAAATGTGTAATTTAAAGAAATGCTAGTTGTTTTAGATCTTCATATAGTAAAAACTGTTTGTCATGTGAACTATGAGAAGTTAATGAATTCTGATGAAACTGTTGTTTCTGCTGATATTAGGACACAGTTTTCTAATTACCATCTTTTTTATGGGTAAGTTTTTAAACTTTTTTTGCCTTGGATTTCTTATTTTTGACATGGGGGCAAGTAATAACTACTTCCTAGGCTTGTTCTGATTCAGTATAGATAAGTGTGTAGAATAAACTCTTGAATGTTAGTTGCCATGTCTTTAAGTCTAAATTAAAAGTTTCAGTGGTTTGGGCTGAGCGAGGTGGCACATGTCTATAATCCCAGCACTTAAGAGACTGAGGCAGGTGGAGAGCCATGAGTTTGAAGCCAGTCTGGGCTACATAGTTAGTTCAAGGCTAGGCTGAACTACAAAGTGAGAACTTGTCAGAAAAAGAAACCAAAAACAAGCCAAAAAAGTCTCAGTGTTTTCACCCCTTCTTTCATCTCTTCTGCACAACATTTTTGGAATACTGGTTAACTCCCTAACATTGTGCTAAGTTCCTGATACTTAATTTGGACTTGTTTACCCCTTAAAAGCTAATAATTTCTTAAGGATAGGGTCCCATTCATTTGTGGCATAAAACCTTGCACAAGTTGTCATATAGTAGAAAATACAGTTTTCTGTATTATTACTTCATTAAATATCAAATTATTCACCATATTTCCAGAGCACTTTCCTGTTAAGCGCTGCACTCTGCTAGTATTAGTGACACAGTGGTGAGGAAAATGTCTATGGTGGCCACTACCCAAGAGTGTGTGAATGACTCACCCACTGGCTATGGGAGACCAGGCATGTTGTGCCATAACAGTTTTCAAAGTACTGGTTATGGGACCGGGGATTTAGCTCAGTGGTTCCGCCGCCTGCCTTGCAAGCACAAGGACCTGAGTTCGATCCCCGGTACCAAAAAAAAAAAGTGCTGATTACAGCCACTTTACAGCCAAGATGATGAATGATTTGTATTAATAAACCGCAAAACATATATTGGTGGTGTGCAACAGTCTACTGCAAAAGATGCTTAAAATGAAAAAGATTAATGTTAGTGTTGGGAGTTTAAAGTGTGTAAGATATGCAGAAGCTAAGTCTGTTAAGTGGGTGCAATTAAAGGAATTAAACTGAGGTGTGAAGACTTGATTGTGTGGTGTTTACTAAAAAGAGAACAGATCCTAATCAGAAAAGGTGATTTTTCCAAATAGAATAGGGAAGAAGATAGGAAAATAATTTAAAAACAAAACAGGTAAAGAAGATAGATATGTTGAAGAGTGGTATGTATGAAACAGGGAGTGTCTTCTGTACCCCTCACCTAGCTCTGTGAGGAAATGTCCATTTTATTCATCATTACATCCAGATTGCTAAACACAGTGCTTGGCATAGACATGCTAGTGAGCTTGTAGGACATACATGTTAGGTAGGTGGATGGTAGAGAAGTGAGAAACTAACCCTGTGCAGAAGCCAAAGATGGACTAAAAGTTTAAACTAATGTAAGCAGGGAAATTGAAGAATCAGTGTTTCTTGATTATAATAATATTCCTAAAGGAGGAGTACCCTGTTCTTTTCTCTGTTACCAGTACTTAAATAAAAAGAATTCCAGATAAGTACTCATTTAAGCATTTGGTTTTGCGGGTGTGCCGTTTTAATTATTGCCCAGTGACTAGAAGAGCAGTAAATAAGTTGCTTCCAAAGCATGAAAAAAAAAAAATATATATATATATATATATATATATATATATAATGAGAGCATGCATATATATATATAATATTATATATATATCCTCAAGTCTTACACTCTGTTTCGGTAAGTTTTGTGACTTTCACTGCCAACCTTTTTACCTGAGGCAGTGTGGATTTATTCTGTCTTTTGAAAATTGCTAATATACATGCCATGTGGGTACCTGGCATTCTGGATGAACAGAACAGGAGTAACAAAAGTGCTTGTGTATTTAGAAACACCAAGGAAGTCAGAATGAGCCGAAATGAATGAGGCCAGAGAGGCAGTAGTCACATGAGGGTATTCTGGCCAGTAAGAACTTCATATTTTACTCTGAATGAGCCAGGCAGCCATTGGAGGGAGGGCTCTCGTGTTTGAGCGGAGGACTGCCATGGTCTTAACTTACTGAACATCCTTTGTTAGAGTGATTTAATGAGTGCCTGAAGTATGTCAGGTACAATGCTAAGTGCTGTAGATATCCCGTTTCAGTGACCACAAGGTGAGAACTGTGAAATTGACTTTCCAGGTGAGGCTTTTAGAGGTTAAGTAACTGGTTCCACCTTACACAGCTGTCTGTGGCAGAGTTAGACTCAAGCCCCGACCTCCCACCCCCAGCCATACCCCCTCTTCCCCTAGTGAGAGCCTATTCCAGAGCTCTAGACTAGCAGCATTGGGATCACCTGGAGGTTCCCCTGTGGTAGGACAGGGAAGTTGTATTCTGAAGAAGCTCCTGAGATGCTATTGAAGCTCTTTAAGAATGAGAATAAGTAGTTATGTTGAAAATGGGAGATGTGTTATCATTTTAGTAGATGGCTTAGCTTTTTCGTGCAGTAGCTGACAGACCCTTGTCCTTAGGAGGAACTTTCATCTTCAACACCTTTGACTGTGTTTGAAGCTTTATTTTTTAAATTTATCCATCTACATTTATTCAAATTTATAAATCTATAAATTGTGACTTATATTAGGTAGTATGGGAAATAATCAGTTTTTATAGTTATACAGTCCATGAGATCCTGAACTCTGTGAAGGCAGGGAACATGTCAGTCATTTGCAGCTTTTAGAGCCTGTGTTTAGGAGAAAGTTAAGAATCTAACAGTGAATTAGATGGAATTTTGGCTATATCTACTTTTGGTTATTTTTTGAACCCAATATCATCCCAAAGGTATGTATAAATAGATAGGCGCAAACCTTTTGTCCTAAATTATTCTAATGTAAATGTACTTTTAGCCTGTATGGTGGCGCATACCTGTAATCCCAGCATTTGGAAGACTGAGGTGGGAGAATCACAAATGTGAGTCTAACCTTGGTGACTTAGACCCTTTCTCAAAATTAAAAAGGTTGGTCATGTAGCTCAGTGGTAAAGTGCCCTTAGATTCAATCCCCAGTACTGCAAGGAAAAAAAAAATTTAACTTTGTGTTGATAATTAAAATTGTACTTAGTTGAAATTTGGATGAAAATAATATATCAGTTTTTTTCCCTAGGTACCAACAACTAAGGTTTCAGAGCTCAACCCCAATGCAAAAGTATGGGGGACTCATATGTTACATTTAGAAGCAAGTAATGCAGCTGTTGGTGTGAGTGCCACATGGGAAGAGGTGCCCGGCTCTCAAGCAGACTGCAGCCCACAGGGTGAGTTGTGGACCTGGGCATGACCAGGAGTGCCCTGCTCTCAAGTCTTTGCCTTTGTTAACATTTTGATCTGTATTTAGGAAATTTGATGATTCATATCTATATTCTGATTTGTAATAGTACATAGAGCCTGGAGATCTTTTATAATCCAGTTAAAGATTTCAGTAAATACAAGTGTAAACTTTGTTTTATTTTAAGGGAAAATTATTCTAACATTGCTTTTTGGGCATAAAATTGCAATTACAGGATTGGATGCCAGTGGCGATGGTGACAGAAGTCATGAGAATGCAGCATTCCCAGATGTACAGGAGTCAGACCAGACAGACATGAACACCCTGGCTCTGGACAACTCTGAATACGAATCACTGCCTGAAAATAATGAAACAGGTAAAGCTGTTTTTATTGAGTTCATTTGCATATAGAGTATGGGCTTTAAAAATTTTTTGGTTTACTAAATATTTGTCTAAGCAATATACCTTTCATTGCCTCCTTTTAACTCTCCTTTAAACTCAGTCTCACCTGGGTGCAGAGAGGAGGCCCTGGTGGGGAAAGCATCATGGAGCATGTAAGAACTGAGTAGCTTCTGAGACTAATAGCATCTAATTAGGAAAAGCAGAAAATTCATATGGTGAAGTGTCGGTAAAGCAGAGATGAAGCATTAATGTTGAAATTCAGAGTAAAACAAGTTGGGTAGAGTGAAGGATATAAAGAGGGAATGTGGTAGATAAGGGCAGTTGAAGCTACATATAGAATCTTAGAGGCCAGGAGGATTTGAACTTTATCCTCAATTGTCCATAGGGTGAGTGACATCAAGAAAAGAAGATATTTGGGAAAATAAATATTGCAAAAGTGTGAGGAAAGAAAACTTAAAGAGTGAGTAAGACAGCAAACTATTATTCCTGTGTAGGTTGTAAGGACCTTAGCATGGAATCGTGGCCATAAAACCAGAAAGGAATAAAGTAAGTAGGGAGAGGAAATTTTCAAACTTAAGTTTTACAATACAGTATGCCAAATATTATTGGAAATATAATTCTAAAAGCAAACCTGTTGGGTAAAGTTTTCATTATTGTCACAATCATGTAATGGTCTCATTGGTTTAAGCCAAGTCCTGTCCCCTCCCCCAACCCCCTTTGCTGTGATCTTTGGAAATATGAGGAAGCATTTGGTCATCATAATGACTGGGAATTACATTTGGCAGGATTAAGGATGCCTGACTCCCAAGGTATGAAGCACAGTCATGCACAGTGACTTCATTGGCTTAAGACCCAGAATAGGGCAAAATCAAAAATTGTCAGTTCAGTCCCTGGTACCAAAAAAAAAAATTATCATGTAAGTGGGGGAAAAATGTAAATGGTGTAGCACCATTCAGGTTTTTTAAAAACTTCAGTGGATTTTACTGCTTTAAATAATTATTTGGTCAAGTGAGTCAAACAAGAACTTATAAAAGAATAAAAAATATCAAACCTTGTTGCCATCCAGCAAATATAAATTAGACATCTTGAATTTCTTTAAAGTGAATTACCATTATCTGTAAGTATTTTCCTGAGTGTAAATGAGAAAGTACCAGTATGTAACAATTTAATTTTATTAGTTTCTCCTTGTTTAACCCAGCACTGACTGATTAATTACCTGAAAATCAAAAACATTTGGGATAAATTGAAGTTATATTGAAGTTGATGGGGCTTTTTGATAACAAAAGAAAGAGTTGCTAATCATTTAAAACATCTTTCAGGGCGGGGGGACTTAGCTCAGTGGTTTCGCTGCCTGCTGCGCAACCGCAAGGACCTTAGTTTGATCCCCGGTACCAAAAAGAAAAAAAAAAATCTTTCAAAATAAAATGAAAAGTCATATATCAAAAGGATAGGAATGCTAATGATAGAAAATAAAATGTCAGGCTGTATGTAAATGATCCAGATCTTGTACTGGGGGCAGAAACTATACAAAAGATAGAAAATAAGATAACCTTATCAAAAGTGAAATGATGGGGCTGGAGATTTAGCTCAGTGGTTCTGCTGCCTGCCTCAAAAGCACAGTCCCGAGTTTGATCCCCGGTACCAAAAAAAAAAAAAAGAAAGAAATGGTAACATGTTTTGAAAGTGCCTTGGAAAGTTTACATTAAAAAAAAGTTAATTCTTTGTGAAAAGGATATTTAAAGCTATTTTCGGGAGAGGGAAGGAGAATTAGTTCCCATTTGGGGGCTAGGATGTGGGCCAATGTAGAAATGTTTATAGGTAATGGGAAACTGATTATTCACCTCCAGTTTTGTTTCTGCCTTACTCTAAAGGACCTGTTAGTTTGTAGAACCCCAACAGACTTAAGGGATAGGCTACACTGGCATTATTAATAGTTAGGTGGTGCAAATTAAGTGGGAAAAATAACTCCCAAATTGGCTAATAGGAAATGAGCTGAGAATGCCTGTCGAGTTAAGTCACTCTGGTGATTTTACCTAAAAATACACTTGAGTCAGAGATAGTAAGATGAATGAGAAAACATACCTCACTTTCTGTTGTTGCACTCCTTACTAACAAATGCTGTTCTGAATGTGGGATACTTATTAAGCACTTATGTGTTTTGTATTAAGTATTTGCCTGTCTTCGTTGTTGTATCACTAGGCATTGTATAAGACTTGTTGAATGTACCTATATAGACACATCATTATTACCCAAAGTATATAACTTACATTAGAGTTCATGTTTGTGTTGTTCATTTCAAGAGATTTATAGCGCCGCATATCCATGTTAACTATCACATGAGTAACTTCACTGACAAAAAGTGCTCCATCCTGTCCCTGTTCATCTCTCCCTTCCCACTACTCCTGGCAATCACTATGGCACCTGTTGCACCACACCACTGTACCACCATAATGGCAGCTGCCCTCATTCTTTTGCCCTTTCCCAGAATATCACAGAGTTGGAATCATATAATATGTAGCTTTTTAGATTGGCTTCCTTTGCTTAGTGATGTACATATAAGATTCCTCCATGTTTTTACATGGTTCATTTCTTTTTAGAGCTATATCATTCTGTTGTCTGGTAAACCGTAGTTTATCCGTTCACCTGCAAAAGGACATATCAGTTGTTTCTGAATTTTGTCAATTATGAATAAATCTGTTATAAACTTCAATTTGCAGGTTTTAATGTAGATATAGAACTTCAACTCCTTTAGGTAAATACCAAGGACTGATTGCTGTATCACATGTTAAAAAGTTGGTATTGTTTTCTAAGAAACTAACAACTGTTTTTCAGAGTGTCTGTACCAGTTCTTGCCTCATGTATTTTGATACTCTGTTTGATGCTTTGTTAAGCATTGTTAAGTTTTCTTGGAAAATTGACCCCTTTTAACATTATATGATCATTAAGTA